TGAGAGTTACTTCCATTTAGTATGGCTATGATAATCACTTGAAATACTGAATACTGAACTCACTGTCTGGAAATTTTTTTTAATACTGAGGGTTGAACCCAGGTTCTTGGCACATGCTATGTACCATGAGTTATGCTTTAACTTCTTGAAATTCTAAATTTATGTTTGTAGTTTGTGCTTAATAGGTGAAGTCTGATGCACTAATGGAGCATGAACCAGGAGCTTGGAGACTGGCTCATGCCTGGTCCTGCCACCAGGACCAGGATGGGTTCTCTGCTGCCCACTCTTGCCCCTGGACAACCTCCTCTCCTTACCTCTTATGCAATGGGATGGGTTCAAGGGGGGGAAACTACCTATGAGCTTGCACTTTGGTGAACACAGTGGCATTCAGACTATCCAGGGCAGAGTGTCTGCACAGAGCCTGTGTCTAATGACCCCTGAAAGGTGAGTATATTCTCTTCCTGCAGGGCATAGCTGTCTTAGCCTCTGGCTGCCAACACTTTCAGGGGATGTTTGGAGGAGACTTGCTGTTTACACTGTGGCCATCTAAACGATATGCTGCTTCCCTTTCTGTCAAGAGAGTCCTGGCCTATGAATTGGAGGAGAGGCTCTGTACTTGTGTCCATTTTTGTTTATCAAGTAGTAGTGCATTAGTAGGCTCTCATTTTATTCCTGAGGGTCAAACATCCTCATCCAACTGTGCAGTGTTGCATCCATCTCGCTTCTGGAAGGTCAGTGTTGCTGCTTGGCCTCTGCTGCGATAGGATCACTGATCCAATCATCTCCTGGCCTTGGAGGATTTTGATCTCCTTCTCAATGCATCTCCCAGTGCCTCTGTGAAGAGTGTACTTTGGTGAATGTGGGCATCACCTCCTAAGAGAAATACACCCCAGCATTCCTTTCTTCCTACGCTTTTGGCTTCTCACCTCTTAACTTAGGCTTCTCTGTCTCATGGCACCTAGGCTACTAATGAGTCAGCCAAACTGTCAGAGCTCCTGAGGACACTGGATTCAGGATCTCCAGAAAGCAAACTGTCAACATGCGTAGCCCAACTAGGGTCATATTCACACCCTGCGCGTTTAGTCTAACACCTCAGAACTCATTCTCACACATTTTCCAGGTTTCTAATAATACAAACTAGAAAAATCTTACTAATTTGGTACTCCATGATTAATTTATTGCTAGCCACCTGACATTTGTCACCAAAGGTCAGAAACCTGAGTAGAAAGAGTCTTCCTTCCATCTCCTGCCAGTGTCTCCCGCTGGCAGATCCTAACAGGAAGTCAGAAAGGCAGCAGAGTACTGGGGTCATGGGGTCATGAGGTCCTGCTGTGGTGTGGATAGATGAGAATGGGGCCAGATGGACAGGTGTTATGTCCACCCCAGAAGCCCAGGCTGATTGGATTCAAGTACTAAGTTCCTGCTGCAGGCAGTGCTAGGTCCTGGGAGGCACTGGGGAACAAAACAGCCTCCACTGTCCCGAAGCACAGTCACATGGCAGAGGCGGACAAAAAACATGCTATTAAACACTTCACCTTAAAGTATCATTAGGTGTGTCAGACCAAGTGTTTTTATTTGGAATATACAAAAATCCCCCAGAAATAAAATGTAAAGGATCACTCTAATAAATACTCCCCCCMCACACACACAGCAGACCCCTCACAAAAGAGGCTATTCCTATAAATGGGGAGCTGTCCTTGAGTACTACAAAGGCAAATTAAAAGCACAGTGAGGCACCAGCATGTAACTACCTACTAACAAAGACTGGTGGTGCTGAGCTTGGAGCAACCAGCCCGCTCCTGCTGGGAGAATATAAGCCAGGATACTTGGGGAAGCTACTCAGCACTGTCCACAGAAGCAAGGATGTCCCTGCCCTGGGACCCAGGGGTTCTCACTCCAGATATGTAACCAAGAGATCTAATGGCCCAGGACCACAAAAGACACTACAAGAAAAAAATTCCCAATGAATTTCTGGAGAACATAAAAACAAAACAGAGAATTGGCAAATTAATAGCTGATAAGTGGTAGAACATTTTTACTTGGATAAAATGTTCATGGAAGCCATATTCATAAAACCTTCAATCTGGAGACAACCCAACAAAATGTGGATGAAGGGGTAAGAGGATGGGTAAACCATGGCACAATCGTACAACTGGATAGTGTTCAACGATAATGAGTCTTGCAGGTAATGTTGAGCCAAAGAAGTCACACAGCAGTTCACACCATGTGACCGGTCCACACACAGGACTTGTCCAGTTCATCCAGAGGATAGCAGGCGGACCAGAGCTACGGGAGTTAATGACTGGGGAGGACCCCGTCTGGTGTACGAGGAGTGCACTCTCTGGCATGGAGCTTGCTCAGGTGTGTACATAGGACAGTTCATCTATAAACAGGATCTGTAGACTTCCCAGTACGTATGTTGCACCTTCAAAAATTAATCAAGAGCTCTACTGGCGGGACTTGGTAGTGTGCTGTCTCACAAGTAGTTCTCCACTCCCAGACCTGGATCCCTGGGCTTCTAGCTAGGAAGCACAGCAGCAGGCATCATGGGAAGATGAAGAGCTTCCCTGAAGATGACCCATCTCACAGCCTTTCTGGGATACAAGGCTGGCATGACCTATATCAAGTGGGAAGTTGATAAGCCAGGATCCAAGGTGAACAAGAAGGAGGTTGTGGAGGTTGTAATCATAGTGGAGACACCACCCAGGGTGGTTATAGGCATCGTGAGCTACGTGGAAACCCTACCAGGCCTCCAGTCCTTCAAGACCATCTTTGCTGAGCATATCAGTGATGAGTGCAAAGGTGCTTCTATAAGAACTGGCATAAATCTAAGAAGAAGGCCTTTGCCAAATACTGCAAGAAGCGGCAGGATGTAATGGGCCAGAAGCAATTGGAGAAGGACTTCAGCATGAAGAAATACTGCCAGGACATCCAGACTATCGTCTACACCCAGATGAGGCTGCTTCCCTTGCACCAGAAGAAAGCCCGCCTGATGGAGCTCCAGGTGAATGGAGGCACCGAGGCTGACAAACTGAACTGGGCCAGGAGAGGCTGGAGCAGCAGGTCCCGGTGAACCAGGTGTTTGGGCAGGATGACATGATGGATATCATCAGTGTGACCAAGGGCAAAGGCTACAAAGGAGTCACCAGTCACTGGCATACCAAGAAGCTGCCCGGCAAGACCCACCAAGGGCTGTGCAAGGTTGCCTGTATTGGAGCTTGGCATCCTGCCTATGTGGTCTTCTCTGTGACCCGGGCTACCATCACCACACTGAGATCAACAAGAAGATCTACAAGATTGGTCATGGCTACCTCATGAAGGATGACAAACTAATCAAAAATAATGCTTCAACTGATTAACCTGTCTGACAGGAGCATCAGCCCTTTGGGTGGCTTTGTCCACTATGGTGAAGTGACCAGTGACTTCGTCATGCTGAAAGGTTGGTGGGTCCAAGAAGCCAGTGCTCACCTTCCACATGTTCTTGCTGGTACAGACTGAACAGCGCTCTGGAGAAGGTTGGCCAGGGTTCACGACACCACAACCAAGTTTGGCAATGGCTGCCTCCAGACTATGGAGGAGAAGAAAGCACTCATTGGATCACTTCAGAAAGACTGGATCACCAAGGAAGAAGGTGCTTGAGTCTGGAGCATGGGCAGATGGCTGCACCCAATAAAAACTTTTCAGTGAAAAAAAAATTAAAGAAGAAACAGGATAATTTTATAAAAATATGAGAGCCAAGAAGAAATTAAGGCATGGGGAGGCTGCTGGGACTGAGACTCAGATGGAAAGGAGGTAGCCCTTAATGAGAGGGACAGCAGAGCAAAAGTCCTGGGCCGGATCAAGTTGGGTATGTCGGAGGAACCCGCACAAGAAGGAACAGAGAGAGCTGAGGCGGAGGAGGATGGCAGGGCCAGGGAAGCTCTTTGTGGGAAGCCATGAAAAGTGCAGAGAGGGGTGTGGGCAAGTCTCTCGAGGGCTTGGGCGGAGGGCGTGAGGGGAAGAGAGAGCTTTGGCGACTTAGTTGTGTGCTGAGGCCCTCTGGGAGGTGGGGAGCGGGGAGCCCATTGATGGGCAGGGGAGGAGGACATGGAGGCCCACACACTGGAGGCCAGGAACTGAGCAGTTTGTTAGGTGCCCCACTGTGGGTGAGTGTGGGTGAGGCAGTGGGCAGCGGGGCTGCAGCGAGGGTTACGGCATGAATGCCCAGGTGGGAGTTCAGGTCTCCGGACCAGAGAGGAGTGCCTGTGAAAACCCCAAAGCAGGAGCAAGGCCACACACTTTTCTGTAAGAGACTAGGGCAGCTGGGGCCTTGGATAGACAGTGCTTTAAATGAACGCACCTCTTCGCCAGTTCTGCGACCTGAGCAGAGTGCCTGCCCCGACCTCCCAGGCCTGCCACAACATGAACAAGCACGTTCACCCGAGCCCCTGGCATGGAGGCTGGGGCATATGTGCTTCTAAGGTCCTTGGGTGATTCTTCTGCACCAGGAAGTATGGAAACCTCTCACTTCCAGTGGCTGAGAAATATGTGTGGGAGGTGTGTATCCTTGTTTCCTCACTTGGGTGAGAGAGAGAGAGAGAGAGAGTGTGTGTGTGTGTGTGTGTGTGTGTGTGTGAGAGAGAGAGAGAGAGAGAGAGAGAGAGAGAGAGAGTGTGTGTGTGTGTGTGTGTGTGTGTGTGTGAGAGAGAGAGAGAGAGAGAGAGAGAGAGAGAGAGAGAGAGAGGGGGGGGGGGAGAGGGAGAGAGCAATTTCCTCCTTCCCTCTCCAAGGGTGGGGCTGCTCCTGGGTTTGGGAGACCAGGTCTGTTCTGTGAGCTTTCGCTGTGTGTGTGTGTGTGTGTGTGTGAGAGAGTGTGTGTGGGGGGCGGGCACGGTGTCCCAGGAGGACAGAGTTTGCATTGATGAAAACCCTTCCCAGCCCTTTGATGCCTCTTTCCCGTTGCTAAAGTGCAGCGGCTCAGTCCTCTCGCCCGGCACGCACTACGCTCACTCTCCACCAGGATGGCATCCTTCCTGGCCCTGCGCGTGGCTCTTCTGCTCATCTCTGGGGTCCTGGCCCCTGCGGTGCTCACAGGTAAGGGGTGTAGGCCTTTGGTTCAGCTGCCATCAGCCTCCAGGGGTCAAGAACCCCCTTGGGGCCAGATTCTTCAGTGTCCCCTGGGTTGAGGGCATTTGGGTGACTGTTGGAAGCTGTCCAGAGTCCAGCTAGGAGCATCTGCACAGGATAGGTGTCTCAACCACAAGAACAATGACTGAGGTAAGAGGGTAACCTGCGGAGCAGGATCAGGACATGTATCTGTACGGGGACATGAGGGTTACTCCAGCACTCAAACATCTGAAGGTTTTCAGGTATGGGAGGCAGGAGAGGGCACCGGGCACAGAGCAAGTGGCTGAGGGGTCACAGACCCAGTCACCAAGCCGAAGTCCACAAAGTCCTGTTAGTTACCTTTCAAGACCCACAAACCCTTCCCTGCTGGTCTTCTGCAGTGCTCAGAGAGTGAAGGTCCAGGTCATGTCTCCATCTTGGGAAAATTTTCAGAGAGGGCAAAAGACCTGAGATCTCACTGAGGATGCTGGACTTAGGCTCTGAACTGAGGCCAAAATGACCCCATCTGGGGCAAGCAAGAAAAAAGCCCCAGCCGACTCTCTGGGGCCTGCACTGGGAGGGGCTGGTCCAGGCTGGCTTCAGAGTTTGAGGAAAAAGGTGCAGATGGGCAGAGGCTGGCTTTGCTCTGGGAAGAAATATTCTCCCTCCACTGCTAAAGGGCACCTGCCTCTATACCCAGAGTGTCTCAAGGCCCTGAAGCCTGGGCTTTGGAGATGTCGTGGATCTTTGAGGGAGGAAAGTGACCTCCCTTGTGAAAGCGTGGCCTGGGGAGAGCTGATGTGACCCCCACCCCACCCTGGGAAGCCTGCACGATGGTGGCCTGCTGGCATCGCCTCTGGCTCTGTCCCTACCCTCTCCACACATGCCCTCTCCTTGTCCACAGGGGGCGAGACAACCACCACTCGCCTCCCTCAGGGACCAGGGAGCTTCACAGTCAGACACAGGAGCTCTCAGGATGGACCTAGCGTCCTGTCGACACTCAGCAGATGCTGAGGGAATGTACCTCCAACCTCTAGGCCCTCCTTGGAACCCTGGGTCTCGGCCAGAGCGACTTTCTTCACAGGCTGGGCAGTGCCCTGCCAACTGGTGGTAGGAGAGATGCCTACTGAGCGAGCCCATGTGATGGTCTTGGAATTGGGGGAAGTAACCTTAAGTGTAGGAGTGTCTCCTACTGCTTGGACCTTAGCGTTGAGATCCCTGCAGCCCCCACCCTAGGGAAACTACTGAGCCCACCTCCCTGTGGCCTGGGGCTGCTGGCTCTCCCAGTCCAGGCCTCCTCCAGTCTAGGTCAGACTGTGCACACACAGGGGTTGGTGGGCTTTGGGCACAGCCAGGACCTGACCTGGCCTCACTTCCCTCTTCCTTTTATATGTGCTACCAACAGGCAGGCCCCACGGGCAAGGGGCCAGAGCATACCAAACTGCCCAGGGTTTGGGGTTCTGGCTATTCTTCTGACCCTTCTGGGAAGGAGGGTGTTTGGAGGCTCTGGGATCTGGCTCTGGGCTAGATAGAAACTGAGCAGATGTGTTCAAGGCCCAGCAGGCCCCCTGACTTTCCTGGGCTGGGGTCCCGTGGCAAGAAGGAGGGGAAAGAGCGCTAGTCTGCTGTCCTCTCTGCCAGGAGCCAGTGGCTGCAGCCACTGGGGTGGGGGAGTGAGCCAGGTTGAGCCGGCAGGAGGCCAGGCCAGGGATGAAAAGGCCCTTCATGGCCCCGCACAAAGGACGCCTGTGAACATAGTGCCTGGCCTCGGGGCCCTGTGGTCAGACAGAGTGTTAAACAAACTTATTTACTGAAAGGCAGGGTAACTGGGGGAGCCTGAGGTGCCCAGGCCTGTGGCAGCACCATCAGGCCCCCACCGTCCCTGTTGGCTTCGGCYCAGCATGGAGGCCCAGGCCATCACTCACTCCGTCCTTGAAGTTCTGGGTCCCACCACTGCTAAGGCGACAGTCCTTCGCATATCCCCTTCCCCACCCTCACACGCTGTCACTTAGCCTGCTGGGCAGTCCTCTGAACTGGGGGACTGCAGGCTGTGCTCTGTGCTCCTGTTGGTCCCTGTGGCTCTTCTTTGCCCATCTTCACCCTCTCTGACAGGGCATCCTAGGGGCAAACTGGCTGACAGCTTCCCAGCACCAAGTTGGGGGAGGACAGGCAATTGCCTGTAACAGAGCAATGCAGGTGGAGATGGGCACACGGGGCTCCCACAGCCGCACTTCCTTTGCTGGTGGGTTGGGGTGAGTTTAGCCTCTGGCCCAGGCCAGCAGGCACCACCCAGGTCGGCTGGGCCTGGTACCCAGAAGCCTTTGGGCGGCCTCTCTGGTCAGATGCCCAGCATCAGAGGTGAGCCTTGGCCGCAGTGGTGGGACAGGGAGGTGCCTGCCTGCCAGTCTGTCTTGGGCATGTGGTGAACAAGCAGGGGGCCAGCGGTTTGTCCATTTCTCAGGACAGACAGGCAGTCTGTGAACCCCAGACCTCAGGGCTTGCCAAGCAATGGGCACACTCTGGCCTTTTCTTGCCTAGCCCCTGGAGCCTGGGGCCCTCATGCCTAGGGTCTGAGACCTTTCATGGGAGCTTTGAGGCTACAGACCCTGCCCTTCCTGGCTGCAACATGGGAAGCCTAGCTGGGTCACCTCCCCCTCCTCAAAGGATGATCTTCAAGGTTGGGCCAGAGTGGCAGCCAGACACCAGTGTGGCAGTTCAGCCCTGGGTCTTCTGGGAGGTAGACCACCAAGTGGGTGCTGCCAGGCTCCAGGGGCCTCCTTGTCAGGGAATTTTTTTGTTTGTTTGTTTTATACTGGGGAATGAACCCACGGTTGCTTAACCACTGAGCCACATTCACAGCCCTATTTATTTATTTACTGGGTACTGGAAATTGAACTCAGGGGCACTTGACCACTGAGCCACATCCCCAGCCCTATTTTGTATTTTATTTAGAGACAGGGTCTCACTGAGTTGCTCAAGGCCTTGCTTTTTGCTGAGGTTGACTTTGAACTTGCGATCTTCCTATCTCAGCCTCCCAAGTCGCTGAGATTACAGGCATATGCCACCACGCCCAGCACAGCCATTTTTATTTTTAATTTTTTTTTTTAGAGAGAGAGAATTTTAATATTTATTTTTTAGTTTTTGGCGGACACAACATCTTTGTTTGTATGTGGTGCTGAGGATCGAACCCGGGCCGCACGCATGCCAGTGGAGCGTGCTACCGCTTGAGCCACATCCCCAACCCCAGCCATTTTTATATTTATTTTTTTTTAATTTTTTTTTATATTTATTTTTTAGTTATAGGTGGACACAATGTCTTTATTTTACTTTATGTGGTGCTGAGGATGGAACTCAGGGCCTCACACATGCTAGGCGAGCACTCTACCTCTGAGCCACAACCCTAGCCCCCATTTTTATTTTTAAAAAAATATTTTTAGTTGTAGAGGAACACGATATCTTTTATTTATTTATTTATTTATTTATTTATTTATTTATTATGTGGTGCTGAGAATTGAACCCATTGCTTCACACATGCTAGGGAAGCACTCTACCACTGAGCCACAACCCCAGGCCTTTATTTATTTATTTATTTTTTTGAGAAAAAGTCTCACTAAATTGCTTAGGACCTTGCTAAATTTCTGAGTCTGGCCTTGAATTCGTGATCCTCCTGCCTCAGCCTCCTGAGCCACTGAGATTGCCAACATGAGCCACCACACCTGACTGCCATTGATCTTTTCTGAAAAGGGTTCTGATTTGATGAAGCCCTAAGGAAGGTGACAGTGGTCCCTGCCAGCAAGCTGAGCCTCACAACTGACCCAGACCTGGCTTTTTGAGGAGGTGGCAAGGACAGAGTCTGGGGAGCCAGGTTACATTTTATGGTGAAAAGATTTTAAGTTCACAGAAAAGTTGCAAAAAAAAATAATCCAGTGAACTCCAGTWGATGCTTCACCTAAATCTACCAAATACCAACATTCTGCTGCCTCGCCCCTGCTTCCTGGATGTCGAATGGTTTGAAAGGAAGTTGCTGAAGATGATGCCTCTTTGCTCCCAAATGTTTCCTAAGAACGTGCACCTTGTCTTACACCAGCAGAGTCCGCAATTAAAACCAGAGGGACACTGACAGAGCCTGAGCTACAGCCCGATTCAGATTCCACACACAGATTCCAAATATCTTCTACCTCAGGCCTGCCCCCCCTGCCCCCCCCCCCCAATCAGGAACACACCTTTGTTTACCTGTCTCCTCTCTAATCTGTGACAAGTCCTCCACCTTCCTTTGCCTTTCCTGACCCTGACATTTTTGAAGGGCCCAGTTATTTTAAGACTGACCCTAAGTGTGGGTTTGGCTGACATTTCCTCTTGGTTTGTCCCAGATGGGCAGGAAGCTCCAGAGGTCCCTGTGTCTTCTCTGAGCACCCTCTCCTGGAGTTGGTGCGCTCACCCCAGTGAGGCCTTCAGGGGCTGGGGAGTGCCCAGGGATAGAGCTCCTGGGCATGAAAGGGCCCAGGAACCTACAGGCTGCTGTCAGGGCTGTTAAAAGAACTGCAGCTTCCGGCAGCCTCACAGGAAGTGTGGCCTTCAGCACACTGTCCAGGGCTGCAGACCATTTACCACGTGACCCCACAGCTCAACCTGAGCCTTGGCTTTCTTGCTCCTGAAAAGGAATAAGAATGGTCCCCATGCCACAAACAGTTGCAGTCAATGCGATGGCGTGTAGTGACACAACATCCAATAAGCTCACTCTAGGGATCTGCTTGGGGGTTGTCTCTGGGTCACAGTTCCGTCCCAGTTATCAGGAGGGCATGGCAGCCCTGACTCTGCTGAAGCCTTGCTGTGGGATGAAGGCTGGGAGGAGAGGCCTGGAGCCCGCCTGCCATCCTGGCCTTAAACTGAACTGGGTTCCGGAGGCCTCCCTCCTGGGCAAGGTGGGTGGGCCCTTGGTGTGTGTTGCTCTGGAGCTCCACCGGGGTCCTGAGGGTTGGGTGGTGAGGCTGGTTGGGGCCCAAGGAGAAGATCATTACCAGGCCTCTCATCCTGTGTCCCTATGGGATTAAGGCTGTCTCCCTCCTGCTCTCTGGGGTCCCTGCATTCCCCCAACCCTGCTGACTCCAACCTCATAAGCAGAGAAGGGCTCTTGCAGAAAGCTGCCCAGGGACTGATGTGCAGGAGCCTGGCTTGATGGTGGGCCTCCCTTGCTGGCCGCCCCTCCCCTCTTCCACCTCCGTGTTCAGGAGACAGCAGTCTTGGTTGTGGAGGGTAGCCCTCTGCCTTGTGGTGGCGGGACTGCCCCAGTCAGGCTCAGGAGGAGCAGGGTCACCTGTATCAGGCAGGGTCTGGATGGGCCTCTCCTTGTGGCAGTGGAACCCTTGAGGGTCTCGGGGTATGTAGGGACCCTGGTTCCCAGTCTTTTCCTCAGGTGAAGGAGGTCTTGGGGTTTGGGTCCATGAACCCCACCTCCACTGCCCCGAAGTTACCCTGCTTCCTGCCAGCCCCAGGCTCAGTCTCTTTCTGAGGGCCCATAGGTCTCCCCACCCCACCCCCATCAACCTGTCCTCACATTCTGGAGGCAGCCTGGTTCCCGGCCCCTGGCAGGCATCTGGACCAATGTACCCTGGCCTCCCAGTCTTGGGGGTGAGTTTTGCAGTTTGCTTGCCTGTGAAATGGGAAGGCCAGTGTAGTGTTGAACTCAGRGCTTTACACACGGCACCTTGAGTTGACCGACCAGGGAGGGGAACTCCAAAGCGCAGTGGGCCCAGCCACCTGGCTCCACCGCCTGTCTTTGACCTTGCAGCCGAGGGTCCGCAGGAGCCTGATCCCACACTGTGGAACGAACCCGCCGAGCTGCCGTCGGGAGAAGGCCCCATTGAGAGTACCAGCCCCGGCCAGGAGCCTGCAGCCACCGCTGCACCGCCTCCCACCTCTGTGCCCGGCCCAGAGGACAGCACGGCGCGGGAGCGGCTGGACCACGGCGGCGGTACAAGCTTGGGGAAGAGGGCGGGGAGGGGAAGGGGAGCGGAGGGAAGGGCGGCCGCGGCTGGGGCCAGGGACTGATGCCGTCTCCGTCCTCCGCAGGCTCGCTGGGGCCCGGTGCCATCGCAGCCATCGTGATCGCCGCCTTGCTGGCCACCTGCGTGGTGCTGGCGCTAGTGGTCGTCGCGCTGAGAAAGTTTTCCACCTCCTGAAGCAAATAAATGAGCCGCGACCGCTTGCGGGGCGACTCGGCTGCACTCCCCATGCGCCCTGTGTCTGCGCGTGCGCCCGCGCGTGAGTGTGAGCGCGTGGAGGTGTGCCAGAGTGCGCGCGAGAGCCGGGGAGAGCACGCAGGTCCGCGCCGCGTGTGCTGCGCCGTGGGTGGAGGGCTGGAGGTGTGCAACACGTGCGCGGGTGGCCACGTGCGCCAGTGCATGCGCGCGCGTGCGCGGCGATTCCGAGCCCGCGTGCATGTGACGTGCGGGAGAGCGCGTGCAGAACAGGGAGCTGTGTGCGGGTGGTGGGTGCTGGAATGCAAGCGCGCTTAGCAAGCTAAGGAGCCGGGGAGCTCTCCTGCTCTTGGGCCCTGGACCCAGCTCCGGTCTCCGTAGCACCTGGGGCAGATCCCCACATCCGCCCCCTTGCTGGGCCCGGAGAGACCTAGGCGAAGGGAAGCTGGAGGCCGACAGGTAGAACTGGCTACAGAGCTTGTCCAGCCCAGCCCTGCTTCTAGAGATCCTGGGGATGGTGGAGGGCTTTCAGGCTCCCAAAGGCCAGGTTGTTTGGGGTGATGATGCCATCATTTGACTTAGGTACAGACATGAGGGATCTCATCTCTACTCACAGCCCCAGGCCCTCAGGGTGCTGGGAATCCCCCTCCTCCAGGTAGCCCCAGGAGTAGGATGGGTCCAGGAGTGAAGCTGGGTGCTATCACCCCTGTTGCCACTCCCTAGCCTCATCCCCAGGCCTGGGTGAGGTTTTACTGCATTTAACAGGGACTTGAAGAGTCCCTTGGGCTGGCCTTTCCAAGCTCAGCTGTCCTTGTGGGAACCTCAGAGTGTGGATAAGGCTGTCTGTCCAACCAATCGCCTTTCCCCCCAACTCCTGGAACTTTGTCCTTTGTCTTGCCTTCTGTCTTCCACTCTTAACAGGAAACAGCTTTGATCATTTGGAGAGGTTTCACAGTGGCCTGCTCTGGGCACACAGGTCTGAAGCACAGCTCTAGCCCACCCTGGGGCTGTGGGAGCTGGGCATGGAAGTGGCAGGTAGAAGCCATCCCTTGGTGGTGGTTTATGCAGCTGGAGGAGGCTGTCTCCCCTACCCCCCTGACCCCCCTTTTGAAAACCATTTTCTCTCAAAACTGTTTGGCCTCTTTGGCTTCCCTGAGCCCCCAAGGGCACCTTTTCCTGCCAAGACCCGTTTCTCCTGGGTACTCTGGAGCCAGAGCTGCACCATCACCACACTCACACACTTGGGGCAGACCCCATAGAAGCCTGTGGAACAACTTCCACTCCTGGCAGTCTCCCCAGAGCACATCATGTGCTAATAGAGTCTACTTATAAATTTTCATGAAACTGTTGAAATTATTTCATTCCACATGACCTTGAACAGCCAAAATCCTCAATGGAGAAGATAATCCAACTCAATATGCTGTTCCTAGATTCAGAAAGCCTGGGTGATCACCCACTCCAGGCCCTAGCTTGTCCCCTCCCCCACCCCGGGGCTCAGAAAGAGGCCCCCTCCCTTGCCCACTCCTGGGGGACCCTGGTGCAGGTGCTCCCAGTGGGGGTGCATCAAGAGGCCCCAAGAGCTAGATCTCTTTACTGTGCCCAAGGCCCTCTGCCCCGCAGCTGGCCCACATTGCTGCAGGTGACACATGCTCCCAGGGATGCTCAAAGGGTCTGAGGTCTCAGAAAGGCCAAAGACCCCCACTGTGGCCTGTGGGAAGATGCTAGGAAGTCCCACTGGCTCTAACTCCAAGGCCTGTTCTAGTGTTCTTCGTCCTGGCAGAGTGTTCCTGGTCCCAGCATACACCCTGGACACTCAGGGGACAGAATCAGGGGTGGGGATGACGTAGCTCTGCTGGCCAGCCAGGCCAGGGGCGAGGTTGCAGCCCCTGGTAACTGGCTGCGACTGAAGGCTTGAAGAAGTGTCTAAAACCAGTGTTTGGGTCAGGTGGGGAGTTCCCCCCAACTGGGGACCACCTCACTCCCCTTGTGATCTTGCAAAGCTCTTCTCAATTCCATGCAGTAAAGATGTCCCCCACAGCTGCTTCCCTCCTTCCACAAGTGGAGGCTCAAATCCCCATCCATTTGGAGACCTGACCCTGGCTGCTCTCCCCTGCCCTGGAAGCCTCCTCAGGGACTTGAAGACTTGATCCTTTGGAACATGCCTCCCCCTGCTGGCCTTGAAAGGTGCTCCCATCAACCGGGCCAGAACCAAACGCCTCCTTCCTGTGTGCACCCGGATAATAAAGGATAGACCTTCGCCTCTTATATTTTATACATGATGCTTCTTTTAATGCAGCCAAAAAAATGATATTTGCTTTTCTCAGAACCATAACCATACACGATGCAGTGACCAATTCATTCCATAAAACACCTAGGCTCCTTAAGAGGCCAGAAGACACAAGTTACATCCAGCCCATCAAGGAGCCAGAGGCGACATGGGCCCCCAGCCAAGCTTGGGCAGGCCTGCCACGGAGCAGGGCCTGGCCATGCAGCCGGGAGCGGCAGAGGCAGGGGAAGGAGGACAGAGGCGGCTGGTCTCAGTCCCGTGAGTCAGAGACTAAGGGCCGCTCATCAAGCTCCATCAGGCAAAGGCAGCCCCTGGGTGTGCCTGGTAGATTCTAACAGCTTTCAAGGTAGGGAAGGGCACGTGCAGTGCAGGGGACCCTGACAGTTGTCACCCTCTGCCTGGCCTGCCAGGGACACTAGTGATCCCTGGGCATGCCTGTCCCCAACCCCGCTAAGAGGTAAGAGAGGGAGGTGGTGTATGTACTGCTCACAACGTGACTCCTTCACCAAGACCCAGGGGAGGCAGCTGCTGCTAGTCTGTGAGTGAACGAGGACAGGGACACTGGCGCACTCACCGCATGGGCAGGGACCAGCGTGCGCACCTCCTGTCGCACCCCTGGGGAGGTGCCAGTCTGTCCTTTCCCAGGCCTCCTTGTCTGCAGGGTCCCAGCCAGGCCTGCTCCCCCGCCCTCCTTGTGCAGGTTAGCGCCTGGGCAGGGGTCATTGCCGATTCCGGCTGCCCAGCTTCCTGCGGTCCTTGTTCTGGCTGCGCTGGGGGTCATCCATCTTGTGGACACGGATACATTCCTTGAGGTTCTGGGAGCGGATCTTGGGGTTCAGAATCTCCTCAGTCATGGAGCTGGGGAACCAGCCTCTCTCCTGGTCATGCAGGCGCTCCCCAAAGATCCACCCTGAGGAGGAGGGGCAGCAGGGTCAGGCACTCCACAGGGGCAGGGGCAGGAGCCGGGGCCTGGGTGGAGCTCCCCCAGCTAAGGCTCCTGTCTGTGTGGGGAGCAAAGCTGAGGGACTGAGTCCAGCTGGCCTTTCCCAGAGGGCAGCAGCTTGGCACACCCTGCTCAGGCCAGGTTCATCCCCATGAGCTGGGAAGGCAGGTGGCAAATGCAGAGGACCAGGCTGCAGGCTCTGACACCAGCTCCACACTGACGCGGGAGCCCATTCTGGACCCCTCCGTGCGCCCACATTAGGCCAGGAGCCCCCAGAGTGAGAGGCATCCAAGGGGCCCACTGGAGTCCATGCCCCAAGCCTGGACCCGGAGGTCACCTTCTTATTGGTCAGTTTCTCTCAGAGCCTCAGCCTCCCAAAGGCCACTATAGCCAGCTGAGAGTGGCCTCTGAGCTGGTAACACTCGAGTCACAGTGCTCTGGCCCTCTCCCCCACTGCTGGCTAGGCCCCCTTCTCCCCACCCCCAACCTGGGCCTGGGGGCATATTCCCACCAGCTCTGGGGGGCCTGGGGCATGCTCTCTGCAGGTCACCTTTGGGCAGGTGTGTATTCAGTTGAAGAAGGAATCTGGAATGGGGCCCAGAGGGGGCCTGAGTGGAGGAGGCCTCCCGGGATGGGCTGGTCGCCTGGCCTGGGCAGAGAAACAGGGAAAGGGGAGCCAGGCACAGTGGCGACGCCTGTGATCCCAGCGACTGAGAGCCTGAGCCAGGAGGAATGCAAGTTCAAAGCCAGCCTCTGCAACTTAGGGAGATTCTCAGCGCCTTAGAGAGACCCTGTCTCAAAATAAAAGTTTTAAAAGGGCTGGGGATGTGGCTCAGTACTGTAAATAATTAAATTAATTCAATAAAATTAAATTCTGCAGGGTCTGGGAAGGAACTTCATTTGGTGTTGATGTCACCTGTGTGTGTGTGTGTGTGTGTGTGTGTGTGTGTGTGGGTCCTGGTCCCCAGGGAGCCCCGAGGCTAGTGGTCACAGGCTTCCCTGGAGGCCTGGCTTGGGGCATGGCGTTCTGCTCACCTCCCTTCCACTGTGATGGGAGGATTGAAGCCAGACTCCGAGGGCAGGGGGCCGCAGAATGCCTGCGGGCTGGGCTTGCTGGGAGGGGCGAAGTGGGACCTCACTTTGGGGAGGAAAGTAGACACTGAAAAAACCCCTTGGGCTGGGAGAGGAGCAGGGCTGGGGTCCCCGGGCCTCACCATCTTCCGTCTTCTCCAGGATGTTCAGGATGTCAGCCAGTTCCAGTGTCAGCTCATCAGGCTGCTGGGCCACATACGGGTGCACGCACTGGACCTGTGGGCAGTCTGATGGGAGGAGAGGGGGGATGGTGTGTCCCCATCTCGGCCCCACACCTGCACCCCGGCAAGCAGTGGCTGGCAGGGACAGCCCTGCAGCCGGTGGGTGGCTGAGCCCCACCTGATACAGGACTTGAACTCCCCAGCCACGGACAGGGCTCACCTGAGGGGGAGGGGGGCTTGCTTCCAAGGGCAACACCCCCGACTAGCCAGGAGTTCTGTGCGAGAACACCGGAGGAAGGGACCCTCCGAATGTGAGGCGGTGCTCAGCTGAAGCTTCAGAAGGCACCCCAGGGTGTGGCTCAGGACAAGAGGTCACAGCCAGGAGCCGTGGCTAGTCTGTGAGGCGCTGGGCTCGTGCACCTTTGGGTCTTAGATGCTTTCCAAATAACCGGCAACCCCCAGAGAGCCTTGGAGTTGGGGCCCAGGTGTCCCCGTGGTT